ATCTCCCCGTACACCGTTGGAGTTAAATTGGCCTTCTATCCACATAATTCTATTAAGCTCTCCCAACAACGGTTACAGTACCATCTCATTTAGAGTTATTATCTGGTTTTTATCAGATTTAGTAAATAATTTATAACAATTCGAACATTATTTATTTGAATTAGCAAAGAAGCTGGCTTATATTAACAATTTTTTGAATTTTGTACATTTTAAAAAATCCAAAACATCTGTGTATTTTTATATTTTAGGAAAAAATGTGTCGATATTGATAATTAAAATTTATTTATTTATAATCATAGATTTCTATTCATGTGATTGCAGAAAATTCGGGGTGCGTTGAGGTAGCCTTTTACAGCATAGTTATGGTTTGCGCCACAGTTGGTAACATCTTGGTGACGATACGGGGTAGTTTTTGAAGATCACGATGTCTTTTGAGAATTAGTAATTCTATAGATTTAAAGAATTTTACCGATTTAAAGAAACTAAAATCTCACAAATTTTCCCTGATCATCATTACAAAAATCATGTGGTCACGTCTAGATCCTAATCAGTAGGGACAAATTTTGAAATGCCATCAATCAGGGACGATAAAAATTAGAATCTAAGCCAAATAAATCACATGCCAGGGTTTTTTCTCACCGATCTTTAAGTCACGCGATCAGAGTTTTAGACCTCTATTTTTGGACTGAATATCAAAAATGTACAACACTGGACTACCGATAAACCAAGTAAAATCCCGAAATAGTAACAATGGAATATACAAATATTGGTATGGATACGTATGACGATAACGTTTCTGCAAAATGGCTCCGTTCTTTAAAAAACTTTCTATCGATTTATTAAATCTTCTCGAAACTGGAGAAGATCATGATGTTTTAATTGAAATTGGACAAACACCGAACCATCAAACTTTTAAGGCTCACTCAATTATCTTGAATTCTCGATGTTCTTATTTTCGTGATAAATATAACAAAATAGATGATATTAAAAAATTCAGCGATTCAGATATTTCTGCTACCAATTTTAAAATCATTATTAGGTTATAGTTATTCTATTATTGGATTATTTTTTTCAATTCGGTAAAAAAAATTTAAATGTTATTCCCTTTAAATTATTTAGGTATATTTATGGTGGTATTATTACATTTGATGAAATCGATGAGCCTACACTTCTTGGTCTTTTAACTACTGCTAATGAATTTGGTCTTGAAGAGTTGACTAGCCGTATACAAACAAAATTGGTTAAAGGACATGCACCCTGGATACAACAAAATTTTCCTTCCATTCATAAAATAAGTTTTAAAAGTGATAACTTTGAAATTTTACAACAGTTTTGTAATGAAATCATCGTTAAAAATCCAGATATTCTATTTGATTCTGAGGATTTTACAAATCTTTCAGAAAATGCTTTGGTTTCTCTCTTGAAACTTGATAACTTACAAATTGATGAAGGAAAAATTTGGGATCAAGTCATTAGATGGGGATTGGCCCAAAGTTCCGATCTCGATTCTAATCCTACTCAATGGTCTAATGAAAAGTTTTTAACTTTAAAAACTGTTCTCAAAAACTGTTTACCCCATATCCGATACTTTCAAATTAATGGTAATGATGTTATGGAAAAATTATATCCATACCATCAAATCCTCGAACAAAAGTTGTGGGTCGATATTATGACAAAATTTTTGACACCAGATAAGGCTATCAATTCAACCATTTTACCACCACGTGTAACTTCTGTTGTTGCCTTGCCACCAAGAAATGGCACAACTCCCAATGGTAAGTATAATACGTTGTGCTAATAATTTTTAAAAAAAATCGTAGATTTATATAAACACTTGTTTTTATTAAATTTATACAAACTTTTGAAATTCCATAAAAAGCTTGCTATTTCTAACGTTTTAAGTGCCAAAAAAATCAACATCTCGAAGAGCCAATAACAAAAAAACCTCCAAGTTTCCATCGTCTTCCACAGCCGTTTCACCTGCATCAGATGCTTACTCTGATGAAACCGTTCAAGTATCAAGGCCATTAACATCTCAAAGTGCCATTTACAAAAAAAGCACCAAAACTTCATTATCTACCGCTATTTCACCTGTATCAGATCTTTGTCCTGATAAACCCGTTCAAACATTA